CAATAGCAGCAAATACGTGTTCACACTTTCTTCCTTTCCTACATAAATGCAACCCCTCTTCCCCCCTCCCCCCACTACCCTTCACCTTGTCCCTTTCCCTCGCTGCCCTCAGGGAGATTTCCTGATGCCACAGAGACACAGAGAAGGCCTCCCTCCTGAAACAGATGTATTCCATTTGGAGGTGTCATTGCTTATTTCAAGAGTCCGCTCTACACGGATACTTGGGTTATTTCCAATCCAATTCAGAATAATGTGGCAATAAAACAATTTCCCAGGAATTGCTCTGCGTGTGCCTGTGTGCCTTCAGAGAGCACATTTCTAGAAGAGGGGTCGCTGAACCAAAGGACAAACACATTCATGATGTTGCTAGACACACTGATTGGCCCTCTGTGGGCATTTTGCCCTCCACAGCACCCGTACCCCTCCCCCCACAGCCTTGCTGACAGGGCAGGCTGTCTGGCTTTTGGATTTTTATCTATTCTGATACATACAAATGATATTTCAGTGAAGTTTGTTTTTAAAATATATTTTTATTTAATTTTTTACAGAGAGGAAGAGAGAAGGATAGAGAGTTAGAAATATTGATGAGAGAGAATCATCGATCAGCTGCCTCTTGCACATCCCCTACTGGGCATGTGCCCACAACCAAGGTACATGCCCTTGACCGGAATCGAACCCGGGTCCTTTCAGTCTGCAAGCGGATGCTCTATCCACTGAACAAAACCAGATTCGGCTCAGTGAAGTTTTAATTTGCACTTCTCTTATTGTGAGTACCTGTGGACACAAGCAGAGCTCCCGTCAGCAAAGGGAGAGTCTTTATGCCGAATTAGAAAAAGGCCGCCCTTGCGGGAGGTGAGTGACAGAAGGCACCCACTCTGGGCAAGCCTGGGTTAAGGCCCAGCTCCCACTTGTGCCCCCAAGCAGGGACCCACGCCAGCTGCCCTGATGGTTATGGCCCGGGTGGGACTATCCTGGGTGACAGGAGGGCCAGTCCCAAGCCGCTCCGCCATTTATGGGTCTCAGTGCAGAATAAAAAGCGCGGCCCTAGGTTATGCTGAATTTCAAGATGGCCGGGACACAGCATGCAACGGGGTGCAATGCCCTTCTGGACAGGGCCTGCGGGACACATGCACACACATAACACACTCACACATATGCACGGGAAGCCGCCCAGGGAGGGGGTAATGCCCTGGGTCCACTGCTGGCCAGCAATCCCTGCCCGCCTCCCCCGCTGGCATCGCAGGAGAATATGGCGCGTGGAGGTGTGAATGCTGTTCCCCCAGGAAACCAGCAGGAGCGGCTCTGGCCCCGGGAAGGAGCAGCCACAGCCGGCTTCACCGGCGCTGGCACCGCTCTCACTTCTCCAATGGCCCAAAGCGGTTGCCAGTGAGACGAGGGGGAAAGGCTCAGGGACGTGCTGCTGGCGGATTTGACTCAGCCCGACTGACCTGAGTCTGTGTTTATAACCCCAGACACTACATTGCCTGTACCAGTTTGTTCCCACACCACGGCAGGCACACACACACACACACACACACACACACTCACATGCACACATACATGCGCGCACACACTCACACCCATTCTCTCTCTCTCTCTCTCTCTCTCACACACACACACACACTCACATACAGATTCTCACACACATACAAGGCAGGCAGACACATGCACACACATAACACACTCACACATATGCACACATACTCACACATACACACATTCACACCCACACTCACATGCACAAATTCACACCCACACACTCACACACATTCACACACACACTCATACACACACACACACACACACACACACACACACTCACATAGTCACCCATACACACACATACAGATTCTTACACATACAAGGCAGGCAGACACGAACATGCATAAAAACTCACACATACACACACACACACACACACACACACACACACACACAGTTTGCCAATGAACTAATTGCTTTATTTAGAAGAAACCTGGGCGTGTGGCCGCCACGCTAAGCAGGAAGCGGGACACGGAGAACAGTGGGGAGGGGACACCTCCTGCCCCCAAGGAAGAGGGGAGAGGCACAGGCCACAGGCCTGGGGCTTCCCATTCTGGAAGGAAGGCTTCTCTCTGGGGGTCGAGGGGCTCCTTGGTGGAGGGGTGTTTCCTTCGTTTCTGAGAACTAGCGGGGGAGGGGGGTCAGAGAGGGATACTCCTCGTGGGCAGCGAGGCTTACATGGTGTGAAATTCTAACACCGGGGGTCCGTCCCACGGCAAAATATGTTCCAGTAGATCTTGTACCGTTTCTTGTAGGTGTGCCGGTTTCTCGCAAAACAGATGGCAGCTGTTTTATCACATTCACACAGCTGCCTGTGACAGTAATCCCGATCCACTGAAATCACAAGAAAATTGAACTGGCTGAGGGTTGGTTAATACCTGATGGCGCCTGTGGGAAGACACCGCCCCTGTCCTCCAGAGGTGCCTAGTCCGAGGCAAACACCTAGGATCCAGGAATGTCTGATGGGAAGACAAAGCTCCTGTCCTCGGAAGTGAGCGCCCAGTCTGATGGGGACCCAGCCCCTAGCACTGGGAGACTCCTCCTGACAGCCACTGTCTCTTTCTTCTTCCCAACAGCTGTGTCCTGGTGCAAAGCCCCAGGCCCTAGGGCCTAGGAATGGCTTGTGATTGGTGTAAAGCAGTCATGCTCGTCCCCTTTTCCTTTCAGTGATTGGTCTCTGGGAGCACGTGACCTTGTTCTGGCCAATGAGCTCCAGGGAAAGTGTCTCCTGGGGGCTGTGGGAAGGACTAATTTCCTCCCCCAGATAGAGATGCCCAAGGGGGGAAAGGCTCATCTATAGGGAAAGGCCATGATGTTGGAGTGGCACCAGGCATCTTGGCATCACATGGCCCAAGGTCGGGGAGCAGAAGGTGGGGAAAAGGCTGGTTGAGAAGTTGCCCCAACCCGGCACTGCCCTCTGCCAGACCAGTCAGACTTCCCCATTATCCAAGCCTCTTGGAGTTGGGCATTTACTTCTCATAACCCAAAGCCTAAAATACATGGCCCTATGGAGAGGTCATGACAGGGAGACATCATTTCTGATCTTAGAGAGTTGTGGAGAGGCAATACTTTCTCGAAATCCCACCAGCGGGTCTGCTGTCTGGGGGCACTGGGCAAACCCTTTCATTGACCACCCAGCTCTCTCCTCCCCTTCAGAGCCAAACATGCTCCGGATGTCTTGGCTTCATGTCCTGCTCCCCCTTTCTCCCCCAACACACACACCCCATCTGGATTTGCTTTCAGACTCCATGGCAACAGCCCCAGTGAGGTCCTCAGTGGTCTTCCTGCCTCTAAATCTGAGGAGCCTTGTCAGCCCTTATCCTGGAGACTTGGTGTTAAGTAGCTGCTGTCCATTCCTTGACCTTCTCTCTCAGCTCTCCTCTCTCTCTAACAAGTCCTCCTCTCTTCTTTCCTGGCCTTTGGACATCAAATGGGTGAACATATCCCACTCTCAGCTCTCTGCTGTGACTCCTGAACCCGTGGCCCATCCAGACCCTTCCCTGGAGCTGCCCATCCCTACATCCAGCCGCCTGCTTCGCGGCTCCCTGGGTGTTCTGGAAGTCTCTTAAACGTGTCTATATAGAACTCCTCCTCCCTTCATCCACCTGGACCACCCCCTGTTCTACTCACGGGACCGTACACCCACCCAACAGCTCCCTATCCCTCTACCCAGTCAATCACCAAGCTCTGCTGATTCTACTTGATATGTCAGTCTCCACCCTTCCCATCAAGACTACCATTGTCCTATATCCAAAGGCAATGGCCTTCTCACTGCTGCCCCACCCCCAGTTCCATGGGTCTCGGGTGAACAGGTTCATGTCACTCCTTTGCTCAAGAGCTCCCTATTGCTCTTGGACAAAATCTAAATACAGTATGGCCTTGGGCTTGGCCTGGCCCCTCCCTGTCCCTTCAGCCTCATCTCTCCTTCAGGCTCACAGAAAGGTTCCGGCTCCCCTGGAGCCCTTTGACCCTGCTGTGGGAAGACCCCCAGCCCTCCTCTCCCCTGGTGCCGGCACAGCCTTAAAGACTCAGCTTGGAGGGCAGGAGCCTTCCTGGACCACAGCCTGTGCTCAGGGCCCTGCCTTTTGGCTAACTTCCTATTGGAGTATCCCAACTAGTGTTTTCATTTTCTTTACTTCTCAGGCACTTACAAGCTTACAAACTCCCAGAGGCAGGGACACTGTCACTTTGTATTTCTTCCTTTTTTTTTTTTTTGTTTTTTTTTTGTTTTGTTTTGTTTTGTTTTGTTAATTCTCACCTGAAGATAATTCCCCTTTGAGTTTTAGAGAGAGTGGAAGGGAAGGGGACACACACACACACACACATACAAACACACACGAGACATCAATGTGAAAGAAACACACAGATTGGTTGCCTCCTGTACACACCCAACTCAGAGATGGGGATCCAGCCTGAAACAGAGGTAGGTGCTGCTGGAATTGAACCCATGGCTGGTGCTCTACTCACTGAGCCAAATGGGCCAGGGCAACCCTTTGTATTTCTATCTCTGGTGCTCAGCTCAGTGCCCGGCACAGTGGACACTCAGTAAGAGAAACCAAGGAGACAGGGTGAAGTTTTAGGACGTCCTTACAGCAGAAGATTTGGCCACTTAGGTAAACAACGTTGTACTTCAGAAACTTGGTGCCACATTTCTGCTCCTCCAGGTGGTTGTAGCAACAGTCATGTTCAGCGCAGCACCTGCGGGAGGAGAGGTGATTGGGGAAGAGAGCTTCCCCATAGCTCAGGGAGCCCGGTCCCCCGTGGTCTGGCCCCTTGGCCCTGGGCAGAGACCCAATGACCTTGCAATGGTCTAAAACAGAGTTTCCAACATGCTGGCTGCTTTTCTAGCTGGGACCTTCTGGGGTTCTGTGATGATGGGCACCAACTCTGCCCCGGCAGCTCCTAGCCCTGTGGGGCCACCAATGGGCAGAGGGAGGGGAGGGCTGGGATGCCCTCACCAATCCGTTGCATCCTTGGGGGATCCTCGGCCACCGTAGCCACAGTAGCAGCCATAGAAGGCATAATTAGTCACAGCATTCTTTCCTGTGGTAAACTTGATCATTTTCTGGAAATCCAGCAAGTTCCCGTGGGTCTGCAGTGGGCCTGGAAGGACATCGCCTGGTGATGAGGACGGGGGCCCTGTATCCTCCTTCTCTGTCCCTCTCTGCTCCTTGCCCTCCCACAGGGCCTCTCTCCCACCCACTGAGAGAGAGGGTCTGTGGAAATGGGAAGGAAAGCTGGGGGCTAAGGCTGCTTTCATCTTGGACTGCCCCCTTTGGCCAGAGGTCAGGGTTTGCTCTTACCAAAGGCCATGGCCAAGGCCAACAACAGAAGGGTCTTCATGGGGACAGTTTTCTCGTGAGAAATGTAGATGGATTGGCCTAGACTCCTCTCCCAGGTGGTCCCAGCTTCTTCCCTGGTCCCTGCTCAGCAGCCCTGGAGAAAGGAACCTTCAAGGGAACTCACAGACATACTCCTCGATCCAGGATGACTATGACTACCTTCTCACTCAGGAGCACACAAAGAGTGTGCACACACAGGGCCTCCTGACCCTTGCCAGCTCTGTTTGACTATTTTTACACACATGCAGGTCTCAGACCCAAGGAGACTCCCACAAGGTACGCTCAGGAGATGTCCATGCTCCCCATCAGATTGAGAGTTCCTGGAGGTTGCAACCAGGTCATCCCAACCAACTCGGAGATTCCCAAGGTCATAGGTTGTGCCCCTCTCCCCACCGCCCATTAGACATAGCTTACTTGTTCCAACTGGATCCAGGGCTTGGAACTTCTATTTATGAAGTCCAGTCTCTAATTTCCCCCAAAAAACTACAGCATAGCACCTTCTCTTTGCAAGACTTTCGAACCCCTTACACATACACACATGCGCAAATGCAGGTACAGTCACACACATATGCATGCATATACACACTCCTGAGCTCACCCGCTAATGCAGACCTTTCATACAATCACTCACATACCCACACAGCACATTTGTGCACATCCCCCAAAATCATGTGCATGCATGTGTATGTTCATGTATGCAACATACACATGCATAAATATCCATGGACACCTATACACAACACTGCCACTCTTAAAGGCAGCCACTGAGCAGGACACATACCCCTGACAGGGCATGAATTTTGGGGTGTTACCTCTCAGAGAAGGCTGGCATTGATAGCTCCGAGTGCTGGTTTTGTGTACTCTGAACTCCAGATCCCCTTAAATAGCTGCCCCCTTGGAAGGATGGGAGTTGGGTATGCTAACAAGGGGGGGAGTGCCTCCAGAGAGTGGACTCAAAGTTTGGCATGCCTATAGCCCTGGGCCATCCTCTTTTCTTCCCCTCTTTCGTAAGCAGGACAAAGCTGAACATGGAAAAACTTGATAGCACTGGGCAATTCCCTTTTCTTCCCCTCTTTCATAAGCAGGACAGAGCTGAGGATGGATAAACCTTATGTGCTGCTAGCAGATGCCAAGTAGATTACTTTGTAATCTTTCCCAGGGGCCAGTAGCCTTCCTGGAACCCGGTCAGGGGAGGGCAAGGGTGCCCCTGCTGCAGGCTGCGGCTTTCTTCAACTGAATGTGGCATTAAAAAAAGGGGGGCATTTATTGTTATTCATTCATTTCATCAAATCATTCATTCACCGGAAGTACTCACACTCAACCTCTACAAAATGCCAGGACCCTTGTGAGCTTCTGTGGGGGGTGGTTGGGGTGTGTGAGGACTTGTCCTTCTCCCCTCCCCCACTCCCCACTACCTGGGGTCCCAGCAGGGAAAGGGTGCAGTGAAGCAGATGGTCCCTTCCTATTGAGTTGGGCTAGCGCCTCCACCTTCTCTTCTTGCTCTTTTTTTCTTCTCCTCTTCTTCCTTCTCCTCCTCCTCCTCCTCCTCTTTCTCCTCTCCTCCCCTCCTGGAAAAAGCCAGAGCCTGCCCTGGAGTTCACCCTAAAATGCTGCCTCCACCTTATCCCAGTCCTCACCTGCTTGGAGACAGAACTGATGACTGTTTCCCAGATACATTGTTCTTTCTTCTTCAACCGTCAGGGAAACCTGTGGCTTAAAAGGCAGTATGTGTTACTTTAATTTCTAAAGTAAATATCTTCTTTATTTGTTCTAAGGCATGGGCCTTTGGTAAACAGTCCCTGACACCAGCCCCAAAACAGCCAGCCTGGCAGAGGCCTGTGCTCATAAGCACTCCACCTGTGCCCCCTTCCCCAGGTGCCCCAGAGGAATGGTACTGAGGGACCTTTCCCGGTCCCTGGTGCTGGGACCAAAGGAGGCAGCAGGTTGGATCCCTGAGTCAGGGCAGGAGAAAACCATCCAGGGGAGACCCACAGACCCTCCCGGGACTGAGGGAGAAGGACGTGTTGTTTTCAGTCCCTGGTCACTGAGGTTACTGGTGACCGCAGCAGAGCCTCATCTGTGCTAACAGCCTTTGAGGCAGTGTTCACCTTGGAGATGCAATTTAGTGCAAATGCTAGACCTGTGTGAGGGTGCACTGAGCCCCCCTGGCCAAGTCCTATGTGGAAGCCCTAACTTCCAGTATCTCGGAGTGTAATCTTAATGGAAAACAGGGCCTTTGAAGATGTGGTTGGTTAACATAAAGCTTTTAGGCAAAGTTCACTAGTACTGGTGTCTTTACAAAAAGAGGAGATCTGGGCACAGACACATGCAGCGAGGACACCATGTGAGGAGGAAGGCTGAGATCCGCTATGCTTCTATAAGCCAAGAAACACTGAAGGTGGCAGGAAACCCTGGCGGCAAGGGGAGAGGATGGATCGGATTGTCTCTCAGGGCTCTCAGAGGAACCGGCCACGACTGCACTTTGATCTCAAACTTCTGGCATCAAGAACGGTGAAGCAACACATCCAGCCATTTAAGCCACTCAGTTGGTGGGATTGTGCCTAGCAGACCCATCACCCTCTGGGCATCTCTGTCCACCAGGGATTTTCGCTGTTTGCTTCAGCTGTTTGCTTTAGCCCTAGTCAGGGTTCAGAGGGGAGGGGCTAGGGTAGACCTTCGTCTTTTGTGGAGCACCGCAGTTTTGCAATATGGTCATGTCCACAATGGGCAAACTGCCTCCCTGACAGCCCCAATGCTGGGGGGCCCTGGCACTGCATCCAAGCCACAGCACTCTCAGATTCTGCTGGCAGCCCAAATGGCCACTCTTTTCACAACCTTTCAGGGTTTCATCACAAGAATTCAAAGTCCATGATTTGGTCTCTTGAAAGCATCCTTTACCCAAAAACTAATCTACACTTGGAATACACCAGTGGACAAAACACACCACCTGTACTCAAGGTTTGCCTTTTTAATGGAGAAGGACAAAGAATAAACAATTGATACAAAAGTTATATAGCCAGCCTGCTGGGTAGAAATAATGCAAGGAACAGAAGCAATAGAGATGGAGAAGGGGGGGCAAGAGAGAGTGGGTGCTGGGATTCTTGTCCCAGCATTATGAAGGGTTCAGCATTCTGGAGAAAGGAGTTGATGCATAGATGATTTAAAAGAAGTCCAAAAAAATGCCTTTCAAAAAGATTATTTTGAAAGGCATTAGCTGTGGGGGCCTGAGTTGGCGGGGATCTCCTTTTCCGTGTCCAGTGCCAGAAGAGAGATGAAACAGGTTCTTGGTAGAGGCAGCCAGGGATTGAGAAATATGTGAAATAAAGAGAGTCGACAGAGAAATAGATTCAAAGCTGGGTTCCAGGTGGGCTGCTGCCCTTTTCTCTGGAGAGACAGATCACAACCGAGCCATGCAGCACATTTATTTACTTCCAAAAGAATAAAGGGGGGTTTCCCTGAAAAGCTTAGGATCACAGGCGTTTTGGGTGTGCCCAGGTCCTATTCATTCTCTCATTCCCAGCACACCAATAAAGATAAGAAGTCAGTATTGATAAGAATCCCGCCATTTGAGAGTCCTTTTCATCTATGGAGTGAGAATCAATACCAGGAATCTGCTGTGCCAATCACCTCGGACTAGCTGACATCAATGTAAAGAATATCCATGTGCATTCCCAGGGGACCCTCTAGAATTGGGGACCAGAGGAGCTTCAGCTAAAGGAACTGAAGACTACAACTTATCTAAGGACCCCATGGTATTTATTAACACAATATGTCCTAAGGCAAGGTGGAGACATACAAAAGGTAAGGTTTCAAAGGGTAAGGTACAGAAGTATTGTCAGTTTGGGGAATAGCCTACAGCTGTTCATGTGTTTGGCCAAAGGAGGCCATAATTTGCAGATTTAAGATACTCTGAGCTGTCTGTCAGCAAGCAATCCTATTCAGGTTTGGGGGAAGTGCCGTTTAGCTGTTCCATCAGGTAAAACTATATATGTGGCTCAGCCCTTGTTGAGCCTCCCAAGTCCCATCAACCTTTTGATGGAACTCTTGTAATTATCACATGCGGGAATTGGTTTTGGGCAATGGGGGAAGGTGGGTTCAATTTTACATAGGATGGATGTTCTCAGACGAAAAGTGCTTTCAGCATCGTCGGTGTTCAGAAACAATTTTTAAACATCATTCATACTTAAAAGACTCAGCCTTTTGGCGGTGGTTCTTTCCCATCTCAGGAATAGAAAGAATAAAAATTGGCTGAAATTTTTCTATTATTTCTTATTTTATATATGAGGGGAAATTACTCATTTCTCTCTTTTTAAAAAACACATCACCTTATTTTGAAACACTTACATTTACAGGAAAATTGCAGTGGCACATTCCTGTATTTTCCTGGAGTTCCAGCTTCCTCGATTGTTTACATCCCACATGTAGCCCTGGCACCTGATAGGAACCAGCAAATGGACACTATTAACACATTTACAGACCTTCTTGGAGTGTCAGCAGTTTTCCTACGCATGTTTTTTTTCTGATCCACGATCCAATCCAGGATGCCACATTGCTCCCTAGTCTTTCTTTGCTTTTTGTGACCTTCAAACTTTTTGGAGAGCACTGCTCAGGTGTTTCTAGAATGTGCCTCAGTTGGGTTTATCTGGTGTTTTCTCATGATCAGATTGAGGGTATGCGTTTTGGGCAAGACTATCACAGAAGTGACAGTGGCCTCTCTCAGGAAAATGGATCAGTGGACCATAATATCGATAGATCATTACTACTGATGTTCATCTTGATCACTTGGTAAGGTGGTGTCTGCCAGGTATCTCCACTGGAAAATTACTCTTTTTCCTGTTGAAATTAGTACATGCCATGGGGGGAGCTACTTTGAAACCATGCAAGTGTTCCATTTTTGTCAAATTCTCCTTGTACTTCTGCTCACTGCAACAATTATTACTTGTTTTTTATTTCTCACCTTCAACATTAATTATTTAAATTGTACTGTAGGTAAGAGCTTTT